CCGCTCAGCGAGCGGGCGCGGGCCGGGCCGCCCGGCGCCAGCCCCGGGTCCCTGTTGGGCGACGACACGCCGCCCTCCACCAGCAGCGACTCAGGTGAGTGGGGCCCACGCGTGCTCGGGGGGAGCGGGCGGAGTGTGGGTGTGTGTGTAAATCCACCCAGTGTCGAGTGCCCCCCGGGAGAGCGGGGCCCCCCCATCCACCTCCTTGCTCACCCCTCTTCTTCCCCCCCCCTCCCTCCCCGCGTGGGCTTTTTTAAATGCCACGTTAGCGAGGGACGGAGAGACTCCCGACGAGTGTATTTCCTGGAGAACCAGCCCAGTTTTCCCTCGAGGGGTGGAGAGAGGAAAGGGTAAAAAAAAAAGAGCGAGGAGGGAGCGAGGTGGGGAAACTTTCATAACGGGGTCAGAGTCGGTGTCCAGCGCCGTGTCCCGGGAAAAGCTGCCTGGCTGTGCCCCCCGTGTGCCGGGAAGGAGTTAAGTCCCGTCCGGGAGCTGCGGGGGAATGTGCAGCCAGGGAGGTGTTAGTGAAAGTGACTGCAGAGGAGTGAATGGGGCTGGGAAAGTTTTAGAAATGCTTCCTTAGGTATTTGACAGCGTGTTCCGCTCCCTCATAAATTTGGTTTGAAAGTGAGTTTTCTACGCAAAGCTCTACAGCCTTCCCTCTTTCCCGCCCCCCCTTGGATTTTCCACAAATTAGCAGGTCAAGAGAGATTCAGAAAATGTCTCTGAATACACATGTGTGTTAAGTAAGCTTTCTTTTGAGGCGTGGCCAAAGCCTTCTAAATCCTTAATTAAGGGCAGCTTGAGTCTGGGAGCTTTATTGCGCTGCACTGCTGACAGCCGAGGTTAAACTTCCCTGCTATCTTTCATGCGCTCCTCGGAATTACGCAACATCTTTGCAACTTTTGAAATCAGGGAGCTGGGGTTTGGAGCGCGGTCTGTGTGTCCTATTGCACTTGAAACGTTGCTTCCTTAAAGGAAAGGCTCTTGGAGAAAATGGAGTCCAGCAGCATCAAATGGGTTGAAGAAGTGTTTGTCAATGGGTTCCCCTTGCTGTTTAGCTCGGAGTAACCCTTATAAATACTGTGGTTTTGAGAGTACTTGCACAGATGACCTTATGTGTGGGTTTTTTTCTCCATGCAGAAGAAGAAGAACAAGAGGAAGATGAGGAAGTCGATGTCGTTACATTAGTTGAAGCGCATGAATCCGAATCCAGCACAGAGTCCAGCACAGAGTCCAGTACAGACACATCAGAAGAGCACAGTAAGCCCCACCACAGCCCGCTGGTTCTCAAACGGTGTCACGTCAACATCCATCAGCACAATTATGCTGCTCCTCCCTCCACCAAGGTTGAATACCCAGCTGCAAAAAGGCTAAAGTTGGACAGTGGCAGAGTTCTCAAACAGATCAGCAACAACCGAAAATGCTCAAGTCCCCGCACGTCAGATTCAGAAGAGAATGACAAGAGGCGAACGCACAACGTCTTGGAGCGCCAGAGGAGAAACGAGCTGAAGCTGAGTTTCTTTGCCTTGCGTGACCAGATACCTGAGGTGGCCAACAACGAAAAGGCGCCCAAGGTTGTCATCCTGAAAAAAGCAACAGAGTATGTTCTGTCCATCCAGTCGGACGAGCACAGACTGATCGCAGAGAAAGAGCAGTTGAGGCGGAGGAGAGAACAGTTGAAACACAAACTCGAGCAGCTAAGGAACTCTTGTGCGTAGGAACTCTTGGGCATCACTTAGCATAACCGAAACTAGACAAACTATGATAAAATATTAATGTTTCTAATATCACTCATGAACTACACCAGTCCATTGAGATGGAACTATTGCAACTGCATGCTGTGCAACTTGAGACTACACAACCTTGGCCGAATCTCTCGAGGGTTTAGCCAGAACCTCAAAACTGCCTCATAATTGATACTTTGGGCATAAGGGATGATGGGACATTCTTCATGCTTGGGGATGAACTCTTCAACTTTTTTCTTTTAAAATTTTGTATTTAAGGCATTTTTTCATATGAAAATCCAAAAAAAAAAAAGTCATCCCCAAATTGCTGTATATATTTACACATCTTATTGCCATGTAAATACCTTTAATAAAGTCTTTATAGAAAAATGTGCAACATTAATACGCAACAGTTGTGGCAACTGGATTTATACTTGTCTTGAACTTCTGTGCCATAACATTTCACAATTTTGGTTTTTTTTATTTAAATACATTTTTTCTTTTTAAAATGATTTTTTTGTTTTTAGATAAATAAATATTTGCGCAAAATATAATTAGCTAAATTCTGTGTAAAGACTTTGCTTTGTCTTCCACTGTTGTCAGTAGATGCTTATTTCCATGATGTCCCTGTCACCGTGGCATTGACGTAATAAAAAGTCAAAAGAGTTAGTTCAGGAAAATTACAGTAGCTTTGCAGCTTAGTAGGGAGGTGAGTTTCTTCCCCCTTTTATTAATTCAAGTGGACAAAAATTGTTCGTCTGATGTGCTTTGTTGGTTCAACCCCTAGTGCCACCATGAAGGCGGAGGTAGCAATGTCCAAGTTAGCCATGGTCATGTGCCTGCTGGAAGTTGAGGTGGTGTATTTTTACACCAGTCACCCTATCATATAGGCTCTGCATTCCTTCCAAATATATTCAAACTACATTTTTGGGGCATGACCTTCATTTTGCACTAGGGACCCAGCTATGTATTTTGAGGGCTGCTTTGTAGTGGGCTCACCTTAATTGCTTCCTGTTTGATTTTGAACAGAAGTTAAATGGGATAAGAAAATAAACTGAGATGGTGAGTGTTGAAGTGGTTAAAACAACAGCGGTTTCCCTTTTTAAGTGCTGAAATCTGTAGAGCCAATCTGCATGGGCAAACACTTTAACAGTTTATTAATGTGAATAGGTAGTTGGGATTTCAGGGAATATAAAGTTCAAGGACACACAAAACCACTATAAACCAAGGGAAGAGCTACTTTGTACCTTAAGAGTATACTCAGACAGATTTCTAATGTTTGCCAGACATATTAAATCATTATTTACATTCAGGAATTGTCTCATGATCAGCTTTGGATGGGCCATAAAATACTTGCTGGACACAGCTCCTAAGATTAGATTGGATCTTTTTTTCTTCTCCTTTCACCCACTTAGCTCTACATTGGTCAGAACTTCAGCAACAAATCAATGAGCCCTTTGATGTGGGGGAAGAAAGTGCTTTTCAAAAAGTTGAACCTTGTACTTTTTGATTTTTATAATTCCCGTTAAATACATATTTGCTTGGCTTCTAACCATTTGAGGGGCAGTGCTCCCAGTGCCAGCAACCAAACTGGGAGTGAGGTTGCTCAAAAAGAGGTTTTTTGATTTTGGAACAGGAAGAAAAAATGTGTGTATATGGGAATGGGGGAGGTAGTACTTTATAGACAGAGTAGATTCCAAAGGTCTGTCCTGCAAAGCTATCCCAATGATTTTGCACATGGGGCTTCCAAAAGAAGGTAAGTGTCTAAATCCCACTCCATGAAGTGCTTTAGGTGCTAGGCTAAGGGTTTCTTGGGGGAGAAAATAATTATGTTAGAAAATCAGGAGAAAGCAGGGCTTTTTTCTTCAGTATGTTTGCACCACCCACTTTTAACTGGCTTTATAGAAGTGGTCTGCAGTTGCTTCTTTCAGCCTGTGATTCAGATACTCACAAGGAGAAAGAATTATACAAAATGAAACTGTTAATTGCATTTGAACTGTAAAGCAGGACATCTTCCAGCTTTGAATCATAGAAAAGTTCTACCTTTTATTAGACAGGATAACTTTTGCCTTTTAGCACGCACCCGACTTCAGATACTGCTTCAGAACAGAAGCAAGCTGTTGTTCAAGAATTTCTTAACTGCATTCCCATCCTCCAAAACAAACTGAGAGATGTAGGTCCATGAACTATGAAAAATATCTGTCACCCTTGGGTCCCAGTTTCATGCATTAGCAAAACCCCCACACTTCCCGTTAAATGAGGTTAGCCCACAGTGATTAATAAACCTCTCCTTATTTGTCGGCTTAAATAATTTGGAGAATAGTTTTGGTTTTTTTCTTCTATCTACAAAAGGTCCTCGGTCTTTTGATGAATAGGATGCATGCAGTTGTTTAATTTCTTACTCCTGTCTTTTAATTGACCACCAGTTCCACTTGCCAGTTTCTTACTGGAAGAGCACACCATTCTGCGAACGTTATCCCAAATTTCTGCTCTAAAAGAGCATCAGGTTATGAGACACTTCATATTTATGACATTTCTTAGTTTGTTGAAGGATTGCAAAGTACCTAAATAATGTAGTGTAAAAAATAATTAAATAATTAATTAAAACCAGCCTGTGGGTGCAGGGGTAAGAAATCTCGTGTGGTCATTAAACTGCCACTACAATAAAGAGGAATGTAGCTTCCACTTTCTAACTCAGCATGAGAGGTTGTGGTGTTCAAAAGACACAGACACCTCACAGGAGCTTCCAGACTGGGTTCAGTTACTAATGCATTGTACTTGGATAGGGAAGTGTTGGGTTTTGCTGTTGTTTTGGAGCAATAAAGGAGATAAGCTTTTAAAAGATGCCTCTGAGCCTTGAAAGAAAATGCAGTAAGTATTTACAGTGCTTGCCAAAGAGCTGTACCAAAGCTCTGTTTGAAATTCAAGGAGCATTTTTAACTTCATCTCTCTGCTCCTGTACTTTCACAGGAGATTCAAGCTACTTCTCTTCTAGAAAAACTTTAGGCAAAATATGGCACCAAAGGAAACTAGAGACGAACCACCACAGTGAAAATAAAATTGCCTTTATCATACACCCTCATTATTTTCATTTAACTGATTTTTAGGGTTCCAGCTTAATTTTTGTTTTCTTGTGTAAGAGTTTTGTCTTTTCAACCAACCAATGATCTAAATTACTTCAATGTATCAATACAGAATATGCTGGAGGAGCAATGGGATGTATAAAAGCAACTGTGTGTGCTTAATTTGTGTCCCATTGGAGACTGTGGAAATTCCATATTTCTTCCAGGGAAAGAGCCAGTGAAGGATACCCTTGAAAATTTTATCACTGTCTATAAAGAAATCCATTTACTTGCCCCTGCTATAACCACTCTTGCTTCTGTAGAACTTCGCAACCATTGCAATCAGTTAAGAAATGACAAACATCAGAGTTGTATTAAAAGAAGAGTTTCAGGTAAGTGGAATAGAATTACTGTAAACTGGAAATAAGCCAGACCACTTCAGTTAAAATCTGAATTTATTCAAAGCGGAAGGCAGAGGTGCTTGTTTCATCTACAGAGATGAGCCTTCTATTACACTGGATTTTTAAAATAATGTTTTAATTGATCTGTGTTAGAGCAAATGAATTATCAGAAAAGTAAAACAATGATAGGGGATCCTAACACAAGCAGACAGCTTAGAAGGAAACTCAGGATTTACTTCCCGGCTTATGGGTTTGCTGTTTCCTCATTTTAAAAGGACATCTAGGGGAGCTTCGGGAAAAAAGAAAAAAAAAAAAAAAGAAAAAAAGAAGGCTTTGCTGACTAAAAACTAACCTCTGGTTTCCCCTTGAGGTTTCTATGCAGATGAGGACTAAATCTGTTCAGAAAAAAAAATAAAAAAAAAATCAAGAAATGAGATGAGCTGCAAAAGCCAGATTTCATTTCCAGTACAAACATTTGACTCTCAGCAGGTTTTACCTGCCTCTGTGCCATTTACTCATCTCAGGCACGGCTGTAGAGTCAGTGGGGTCAGGCAATGGTAAGAACAGTATCCATGATTCACAACTACAGCTGGGAAGTCACAGGGTTTTTTTATTCCAAATTCTGTCATTCACCTTCTGCAGACATCTAGAGTGAAGGGAGGGTGCTGGTGTTTGGAGCATATGGCTGATGGCAGTGGAGTCTGTGGTGTGGGTAATGCATAGTATGGAAGAGTTGCAGTTAACATGCATCCAGGTGGGAACAGGTGTGGGGGAGACACCGGCCAAGCAGTGACAATGCCTCATCTTAGTTGTTTCTTGACTACACAACAGGGTTTTTTCTCACATTTCTAGAGGGGCCAAGGACTTTGTCCCTAAGGGTGTCCAGACTCCATATTCCTTGAAAATGAAGTAAGTTAATTTTCCTGATAATAAAAAGTGCTTTGGTGCTAAATATTAGTGCATGTGAAAAAATTTCATTTGCCACTTCCCAAAACCACTGCTTGTAGTTAGTGAGCAAACCTTGCTTCAAGTTGCCAGTACTGCATGAGAGCCAAGCTGTGAGGCACATCTGCACAGTGGTGCTTGAAGCCATGAGACACAAGGGAGAAGTCACTGGCTGAGAGTGGAGGTGTAAAACTGGCTGGCTTTGATGGCAAAAGTATCTTATTCCCACAAGCACAGTTTCCAGTTTCCAGCATGATATGTGAATTGCAGAGCTATTCCTTGTCCTACACAAGTCTGTGAGAAAGCAGCTAGGTAGGTTAGTTCCTGAAGTTATATATTATGGTGATTGCATTTTGTTGCTAAACTCACCCTTCATGTATGTCTCTACAGATCTTGATATGGCTACTGTTCTGTTGAATACATTGCCACTGAAGGCAAAACTTTTCTTGCAACCATGTGTAATTTCCATCACAAGCTTCTATGTCCTGATTATGTGGATTTACATTTTCCCTATAGGATCAAAAAGAAAAAGAAAAAAAAAAAAAAGAGAGATAAAGGATTAAGTGCAAAGAATGAAGAGGTTTTAAAATATAAGCTGTAAAATGGAGCAAACTGAGTGAGTAACAAAGAGTTCCGAGCAGAGAAATTAACACTGCTTGGAATTAATTAGTCCCATCGGCTTCTTTCATGCTAATGTGTCCATGATGAAAGAGGAGAGAAAGAGCAGGAAGAACCAACAACAACGACAAAAAGTAAAGGAATTGTGCTTTATATACAACTACTGTGAGCAGGCAAACTCCCCAAAATTCTGCAGGGCAAAGTGCAATTGTAGGGGATCAAATGCAAAGCTGTTCCTGCAGCCCGGTCCCTTCGGACATCCCTCGGGATGGCTGCAGGTTGCGGTCGCACAGCAGCGCTCCCGTTTCCCAGCACATTTTTCTTCCAGGCACCACGTGTGTGCAAGGGGCTGCTCACAGGGATGCAGCTGCTGGAGTGAGAGCTTCTTTCCACTCCTTTTTCTCCCATTAATCTGCTCCGTGACGACAGCAGAACCAAACAAAGCCTCTCGGTGCAGGTAGTTCCTCTGATCTAGTGCCCGGCTGAGTGTCTGACAAAGCCCTTTTTGGCTTGTGACCAAGGCCGTGC